ATTGTGTCTAGAGGAAGAGTAGAGTTCATCACTCATTTGGCAATTTGGCATAGGCCCAGCTCTGCTACCGGTCTGAAATCCAAATTCCAGTCCACAGTTGGCCAGCCATGGCCAAACTTAAAGCAAGTTTGATAACCTTTCTATGCCTCCGTGTGCTCACCTATAAAGAGGGAATAAAAAGGACCTGCTACTTATTATACATATAGCCATCTATTTAGCACACTATGGTGCTACTTTTAGAAGATAATGCAAATATTTACTAAACTATTGTTAGAGCCAAATTCTACATTATTGGCAGTACAGTAACTACCTTACTTTTCTTTCCAGGGAATTTGATCTTTACTAATTAGATGGTTTTACAAATCTACCCTCTGAAATGAAGCTGCATGGATTTATCACCTTGGTTTTGGAAATGAGGAAACTAAGGAATAGAAACTCACAAGAAACCTGCTGACGTTCAAGGTCAAAGACCACCAAATCGGGGCATCTGGGTGGCTAAGTGGTCGAGTGTCTGCCTTTGGCTCAGGTTGTGATCCCAGGATCCTGGGATCAAGTCCCCACATTGGGCTCCCCACAGGGAGCCTGCTTCTCTCTCTGCCTGTGTCTCTGCTCTCTGTGATAAAATATTTTAAAACAAAAAGCAAAACAAAACCCAAGTCATAGCTACTGCAAGATAGTAGGTCAACAATATTTCATCTCCTAATGGGGCCTCTACAGGAAAATCTGAGACAACGATAGCAAAGCTGAGGCTCCCAACATCTGTGGAATGTTCTATATGACCTTTTAGTTCAGTACCATCACAAGAATAACTGAATTAGGTCAGATTCTCTGTTTCAGTTTAAGAGGTGTGGTCTGCCTCCAGGCCTTTGTGCTGTCTGTTCCCTCTACCTGGATCCTGATGTTCCCTGTATGTCCTTATGGATAACTTCCTTCTGTGAAAGTTTTGGATCACCTTTGGATTAGCTTCTCAGTGAGCATACCCTGATCAACCAATTAAAAATTCTAACACTTCCTCCTCTCAATCCACCTTAGCTTGCTCTAATCTCTTTCCATAACCACCTTTCAATATCCTATTTATTTTTATGGTGATTATTTACTATATCTATCTCCCACCACCAGAATATAAATTCTCCAAAGTTGGGATCTTTGTTCACCAAAAAATACCAAGGGCCTAGAACTATGCCTAGCACAAAACAGATGCTAAATAGGTATTATTACATAAATAAACTTAATATGCAGAGGTACTTTTACAAATGTACCAGACAATCAAATCTACCAGGAATGCTTAAATACTTCCCCTTCTGAGACCAAAAGCCAAAAGACTTCTCAGCACTGAGATGCACAGACAGACCAGGCATTTCATGAGTCTGTGACATTGACCTTCAGTGCTAAATTTAGTGCCCTTGATGTTTCTGTGATGCCTAGTTACCAGTTTAGCTTTACCTATCTAGGATGTGCATGTCAAGAGTGTTTCTACAAACTCAAGTATCTACTCACAGTAAGAAGCAAACAAATCTTGATCAGCTTTTCCCGTCTCCAGGAAACGGAGCTGGGCTATGAATGAATGGAGAGCAAAGCTGATTGAGAAACACTTCACAATTGCAGGGCTATGGGATTTCTAGGCAATTCAAGTTGAGGGGACGGCTTCAGCTGGGATAGCAGGGTTGTACATGGAGACAGGTGCTCCAGTACTAGACCAGAGAAGAAAGGCAAGGACCAACACGGAAATGCAAGTGCTGTGCTCTTCTAGGAGGAAGAGAGCAAAGACAGAGAATAGGGGTAAAAAAAAAAAAAAAAAAAATCACACTTCCCTTGGTTCTACAGCCCCAAATCCTTGTTCCTATGGGTACAGGTAAAAAACAGCTAAATGCACATTTTAACAGGACAGCAGCTATTTGCCACTTAATGTTCTTAATTAATATGAACTAAGCTTTACAATTATAATGAAAACTATGGGCCTTGCACACCAAAGGCCTTGAAAAATCTGTCAAGCAAGAAACAGGCCATAGTCCCACAGACCTTCATGTGACTACTGGCTTAAGGATTTTGACTAGTGGTTAAGTTGCAATAACTCAGAATGGTCCTCAAGATGGAACTTCCACCTAAGCATTATTTCTAATACTTTTATGATTGCTAAATAACAAGCTCTGTGAAAAAAAAAATCAAAGATAATATTAAAATAAATCTTTCAGTGGTCCTTGCATGCACCTTTTTAATGCGGCCACTCAATAACACGGACACCTGAAAAATAACCATCTGCCTCCAAAACTTTACAGACTGAACCACAAACAATAAATACCGCTTAACAACACACATAAAGAACTTTCACTAAATGCTTGGTCTGATATATCTGCACACAGATGCCCCTCAGCAAGTTTATTTACGTGTCAATGCCTACTAATCAGGATGTTTTTACTCCTCTTGAGGTCAATTCTTATTTGTGCATTCGGGGCTATCTTTAAAAAGCAAAGGGCCTCTGCTCAGCAGAGGCACTCAATAGTTTTAAGTTCATGTCTTCACTCTGGGAATTTCAAGTGCTTGTCCATTTTAGCATTTATTTTCCATAAAGCTGGCTGGTTTTAAACTAATTCCAAAGTACAGTCATTGTTAGCCTTGCCACACAGTGTGCCGAAGTCATAACTATTGTTATAAACTTAATTCTTCAATATTTTAATTAAGAGAAAAGAGTAGCCCTTTGGGGATGACCATTGCTTAAAAGCTGAGTTTCAGAAAATATACAGAACCTTTAACCCTCTTTAAAAATGTTTACCCAATACTAAAGACAATTCCTGCGAGCTTAAAAAGCTCTTTCGAACCACCAACCATTTAAAATCATCTAATTGATTACAAACTAAATCAAGAAGGATAACTGCCTTTAACACATTTTAATAAGTATAACTGATATTTTCTTTTAGCCACCCATCCAAGTAGGCAGGCAATGTGGAAAAATCATGAACTCACCTTACATTAATTATAGTTTATCCTGAAGTAACTCTTAGTGAAAGTGAATAATGAGGTATGCAATAGCAGCCCTCTCAAAGTCGGGAAACATTATTTATTTATATATTTATATAATGACATACTTATTTGCTTGTTTTTATTATTTCCTATTTATTATTGAAAGGAAAGGAACTTGAACTGACAAAATTTCCATTGGAGCTTTGCATTACGGGGGTTTTAGTATTACTTCAAACTGCCCATCATGAAAAATCTGATTTATCCTTTAAGTACCTTCGGTTCCAGCTATTCAATGATGATATGAATCAGCAAATTTGTTACTCCATTAAATTCCTGCTTTCAAGACGACCAAAACTTGCCTAGTTCTTTCCCTCCCACCTCTATCAGAGGGGATGGAGGGTACGGACGTCTTAAAACTTTTTAGGTCTCAAAACCTGGACAACTTACTCATCAGGATTATCAGTTGAAAGACATTCGGTAGACATTTTCAATGATTCCTTCCCACTCCGGATGCCCCCCGCCCTTCGTTATCCTATGCTAAACTAGCAATCAACGCTTATCAGGCACCCACTGTGTGCAAAGAGAAAAAGCATTATCCTAAGCAAAGGGGCAGGAGGCTCGGCCTCATTTTACTCCTGCATAAATACACAGCAGTCGTGATTTATTCTCACAACTTTGCAGAAACGTGAGTTGCATCCACATGGATGAATTCCCCAGCATTCGTTTGGAAATGAATTTCTGGGGTTAATCTGCAGGTCCTCGGGATCGGACGGCCCCGAAGGGACACCGCGCGGTCCCCGCACCTTCCAGCCCGCACAGGTCGTCTCGGGGGCGCCAGCCACACCTTCTGCAGGTGGCTGGATCGCCGGAGCCAGGGGAGCCCGACCCTCTCCCCTCGCAGGGACTCCGGATAGGAGGAGTCTGTAAATGCGTGCTGGGACTCGAGCGAATTCAGGGACTTGTTGAAAGCCCCCCGCCCCGCCCGGGCGGGGTGGGGGGGTCCCGGGCCGGGCGAGAATGCGGCGGCGGCGGCGGCCCCTCCCCCGCGGCCCGCGAGTCCCCCGCGCCCCCGGCTCCGCGCAGGCCGCCGCCGCCGCTCCCGGGCGCAGCCGGCGCCCCTCGGGCCTAGCACCATTTGAAAGGCAAATCTCCGAGCCGGGGCGCCTCTGGATGCCCGGCCCCGGCCCCGGCCCCGGCCCCGGCCCCGGCCCCGGGATCGCTCTGCAGCAGACACAGCCGCGGGGGCCTCCGCGGCCGCCCGGCCCGGGGCGCTGGGCGCGGCCCGCGGGCGCCCCCGGGACCTCAGCCCGCCGCGCCCCGGCGTCCGCGCCAGGCCGGGGAGGGTGCCCGGGGGCCCGGCTGCCCGGGGTGCCCAGGACGGCGTCCCCCGCCGCGCCGAGCGAGCCCGCGGCGCGGGGAGCCCGGGCTGCAGCCGCGTCCTCCGCCCGCGGCCCGGGCTCCCGCCCCCTCCCGACGCACCACACCTAGCAACCCGCGCTGACAGGACGCAGTGGCGGCGGCGGCGGGAGGAGGAAGCGGAATGGCTGCCGCGGTGGAGCCACCCCCGCCCCCCCGCCCCGCTCCCACCTCCCGGCCGCTGCAGCCGCCGCCGAGCCCTGACAGCTCCAGCCCGGGCGGAAGCAGCGGGCGGCGTGCAGCGCCCGCCCCCCCGACCCCCGGGCCAACTAACTCCGCGCCCCCGCCCGGCGCCCGGCCCGCCGCGCCCTCGCCCCGCGCCCCCGCCCCGCGCCCCCGCGCCCCCGCCCCCCCCGCCGCCGCCGCCGCAGCCCCCCGCCGCCCCCCGCCGCCGCGCAGCCCCGCTCCCACCGCTTGGCCGCCGCCGGCGCGCACGCCCCCCGGGGTCCCGCAGCCCCGCCGGCCGCCGGCCCCCCACCTCGGGGCGCCCCCGCACCCCGCGCCCCGCGCCCCGCGCCCGGGCTCGCACACGCCCTCCCTCCCCGCCGCCCCTGGCCATCCTGGGTTCTCGCCTGGGCAGGAGTTTCCGCGCGCCGGGCACCCCCGCCCACCCCCGGGCCGCTTACCGATGTGGTTGTCCTCGATGTGCTCGATGAGGTCGGCCAGGGTGGGGAAGTGGAGTCCGCAGCCCCCGAATCGGCAGGTATTGGAGAAGAAGGAGGCGGCGGCGATGCCTGTCATGGTGCTACATCGAGAGCCCCCCTGGTGTCGGCTCTGCGAGCGCCGGGCCGGCGGGCGGAGGGAGGGAGGGAGGCAGGCGGAGGAGGGAGGGAGGCAGGGTGGGGTGAGGAGAGGAGGGGCTGGGGGAGGGGGAGAGAGGCGGGGTGAGGGGAGCGGAGAGAGCGGGACGGAGGGAGAGGGGCCGGAGCGGCGGCGGAGAGCGAGGAGAGACCGGGAGGCCGAGGGAGGCGGCGGCGGGAGGCGGCGGCGGCGGCGGGAGCGCGGGGGGCGGGGGCGGGCGGGCGCGCGGGCGCGGGCGGGGAGGCCGCCGCAGCTGGGAGGAGGGACCAGGGCGCGCGGCAACAGCTGTGCGGCCCCAACCGCGGCTCCCCGACCGAGGCCTCACCTGCGAGCTCCTGCCACCAACTTTATCTCCCTCGGCCTGCCCTTCACAGTTGGCAATACATGCGACCTGCTTGGAGCTTCCTCGCTTCTGGCTGTGACATTCGTGACATATACACGTCTATTAATTACACGCGCATCCCGCCCTGAGAACTCCGGGAGTCACCCAGGCACCACGCGGGGACATTTGTTTGCACTTGGCCACCTGTCTAGGTGTGACACTGACATTCACAGGGGACCCAGGAAAGGGAATTGTGTGCACCTTACTCTTTAAACTTTTTTTTTTTTTTTTAGTCATTTTCTCTGGAGGTTTGTACTAACTAATTGATTTTAATGAAATTTCCCTCTAGGCCAAAAGAAAATCTTAGCTTTATTTAAATTTCAAAATAGATTTCTTCGATTGTCAAGTGCATTTGCCCGTGTTTTACATAAAGTACCACGTTTGTTATCCTCCCTGCTCCTTTTTGGGAGAACAAAAACTAAAATGATTTCGTTCCCCCAAATTGTAGCCCCCCACTGCTCCAGCTCAGGTCTGGGAATTGACTCATCTGTGTCTCTGGGAGCAAGACCATCAGCAGAAAGGACAGTGCATTGGTTAAGGCTAAAAGGAGTAAAAACAGGGTCAAGGGACATATTTACTCTTCATTTAAAAGAGAAAAGACTCTTCCAGTCAATCTTGATTACACTATTCGGTGAACATTTAAACCCAAACACTGACCAGTTAAGCACTTCAGTTGAATTTGGTAGCATCCCCCCAAACTAGTACTTTGCTAAGAATCTATTGCTTTCTGGCCCCCCTCCCCCCGTTGCACTCATATTTTGACCTGTGGAGTGTGTGATCTCCTATAGCACTTTTCCAGGTGCCTGAGGAACATTACACATTATCGGCAGCTTACGACCCAACAGTGCATTTTTAAAATTAATACAGGCACACTGAATTTAGCACTTTTCCTTAGGACAAATTTCACTTGCCTCTGGTGCAGATATGTACAGAAATAGTATTTCCCTCTCCATAAACTATAGTCATCTCCCATATTATTACTAATAATATGATTGTCAACACAACAGTTTCCATATGAGTTTTTAGAGTAAAAACACCACAAAAGTTTTATAATCTGACAGTCACAGTGATTAGGGATGATTAGTTCCCTCATCCATGGCATTTCTCCTTCTCTCCCATTTCTTCTTACCCAGCTCACAGGGTGACAGCCTTGTGCTGAGATGAGAGTTGGGTTGGATGAGGCCCGGGGCCGTTGTGTCATTGAAGTTCAGTTTGGTGCCAAGAATGGTTTCCTGGGCCCATTTGCGGGTGGGGGCAGGGCCTGGGTGGGCCTGATAATGCGCCAGCGACCCGGTTGGCTGGAGACTGGAGCCAGGGCCAGACAAGGGTCTAAAGAGCAGGAGTTAGAATTCTAGATCTTGAATTAGAATTTTGGCAGCTGTGCAGTGCATTCAGCTACCCAGTCTGGGAAGGCCTTCAGCTGACAGTAGGCAGGATATCTGGCAGACAACACACCCCACCAAGTAACAGGACAGGGTAATGCCCTGCAAAAGCTTCAACCCAAACCTGTGCCAAAACAGCTTCCCCCTAGAGATAAGAGTTAGGCACCACCACCATGCAGTATCTAGGAATTATCAAGAGCTTGGGAGAAGTAGCGACTCTGCCCTCCAGGGAAAAAAAAAAAAAAAAAAAACTATGTGGAATTATTAACTCCAGGCAAGAGAGTCAGGGATGGAAAGTGCCAGAAATGTGCAGGTGAAAGACAAGGAAGTAAGGGGACTGCATTTCACTAGAGCACTCTAGTGCACAAGTGATAGGCCAAATTTAATAAACAGAGCTTTTTCCTAACCCAAAAGAACATAAATCAAATTTTTAAGATTTAATTTTTTTCTAGCTTGGGCAATCATTAATATTTTGTAAGGACTCATTTTTTTCTTAAAGATTTTATTTATTTATTCATGACACACACACACAGAGAAAGAGAATGGCCTCTGGACACAGGCAGAGGGAGAAGCAGGCTCTGTGCAGAGAGCCTGATGGGGAACTCGATCCCAGGACTCTGGGATCATGCCCTGGGCTGAAGGCAGGTGCTCAACCACTGAGCCATCCAGGTGGCCCTCATTTTCTCTTCCACTCTACTAATTCTTATATGAACTGAAGCTCTGCCTATGTGACATTCTGTTTGTTTTATCTGCGCACTCTAGGCATTTCTGGCCTTTATATTAGATACATAATCATGCCCTATTAGATTTGGGAAGATACTCTGGCTGTCAGGCCCACTGATATCGTGCATGTGGTAAATAAATTGAGGCCAGGGACATGGAGTGTGTTCTCCCCAGGCCCCCACAGCCTGTTTCCTCTCTGTATTCATAGTGCATTCAGTAAGGCATCGGTTGACAGTAAAAGAACAAAGATCTAGTAACCACAGGCAAACTTTTAAAAAATTACAGTGGCTTGCTTATCATCATGCACTTACGTTGAAAAGTATTTGTTTAAGAGGTGCCTGGCTGGCATAGTCAGAATACATGACTGTTGATCTTGGGGTTGTGAGTTCAAGCCCTACATTGGGCCTAGCTAGAGCTTACTTCAAAAAAAATTTTTTTATTTTAAAAATAAATGTTTGTTGCAAGGATGTCCCTTCAGATGAAGTCAACACTAGGCTATAAGAATATAGACAATAAGCGTTTCAGCCTGTGGTGTTCAAGAGAAAGTGATGGCTGATCTATCTTTACATTTACAAAAAAAATTTGTCTGCCTAATTTGGGTAGTAAAAATATTTCAAAGGAAAGAGATAGTGAAAGAATGGAGAAGTCAGAAGGATAGCATAGTGTTTATGGCCAAAAGTGTTCCCTGGGTTTAAGACCCTTTTCTTACAAACCTTTCCCCAGGGCACTAATGCCTCCTGCTGTGGAAACCTGGACAAAATATGGACCTAGTGGTCCATAGCTTGGTACTTAGTATTGGTGCTTGGTACTTAGAATTACAAATGATTTGGGATCCCATAGCAATCTCCCCAAATCCGGCATTGTCCACAGGCTGGCACAGCTGCCAGCAATGTGTGGATCCATCGGTCTAATGGAGCCAACCAGAAGCCACCAGAGGATTCTGTGTCATATAATTGTCTGGCCTCCACATACAGGAATTGGTTAATTTAGGGATATTCTGATAAAAATCGTGCACTTCCTGTGCCCTGCATGGTCATCTGTTAGCACTGTAAGAGGATGTGTATGAACATCGGACTCTGTTTTGAGTTTAATTCTCCATACTGCCTTCAATTCTAGCTTTCTTGGCTTTTCTGCATCATTCCCCCAGGTTCCTCTTAAGTTACTTTTCGGGTTTACTGGATGTAAACAGACTCTTTGTAAGTAGCTTGAGGCATTCCTTCTACAGCCACCATGACATAGACTGAACAGATCACAAGGCCGGTCTTTTTCTGCTTGTGCCAGTCTATGGCCCTTTTTAGGAATGGCAGCTCTTGGGGTCCTGTCTGGCTCAGTCAATGAAGCATGTGACCCTTAATCAAGGGCTGTTAGTTCAAGCCCCACATTAGGTACAGAGATTACTTAAAAATAAAAACCTACATAAATAAATAAATAAATATAAATAAGGAATAGCAGCTATTAGGTACAGAGATTACTTAAAAATAAAAACCTAAATAAATAAATAAATAAATAAATAAATAAATAAATAAATAAATAAATAAAAGAATAGCAGCTCTTAAAGACTCAGGCTACCACTTTTGCCAACAGTAACCCTTACCTTGACAGGATGTTTTCTTTAGGCTTCACCTTCTTCCAAGGAGGATGATGTCTATTCCAGATCTTCTTGTTTAATATTTATGCAACCAAATCATTAAGCTTTTTGTCTTGATTTTACTCCAGCTCAGAAATGAATCAACTTTATCAGCTCTTTGGTGCTTAACTCTCATTTTGGTCCCCGGTCTTATCTGCCTAGATTTAAGTGTTGACCTTAGGATGAGTAATGGGGGTTCTCTGGTTGCATGCCACTAGTGACCAATCCTCATAAGTGTTACCCCTTAGAACTCTCTACCTGGCTGCTTCTGCCTTACTATCTACATAATTATGGCATTTTCATTTCCAGCTCCTTGCAGGATTTCTCCAGAACTAATTTTTTTTAAGATTTTATTTATTTATTCATGAGAGACACAAGCAGAGGGAGAAGCAGGCTCCCTGCAGGAAGCCCGATGCAGCCCTCAATCTCAGGATCCTGGGATCACGATCTGAGCCAAAGGCAGATGCTCAACCACTGAGCCAGGTGCCCCTCTCCAGAACTAAATTAATGAAACATTCAACCAATGGCTGGAGTTCTTTTTTTTTTTTTTAAGATTTTATTTTACTTTATTTTTTTCATGAGAGACACACAGAGAAAGGCAGAGACACAGGCAGAGGGAGAAGCAGGCTCCATGCAGGGAGCCTGATGTGGGACTCGATTCCAGGACCAGGATCATGCCCTGAGCCAAAGGCAGACGCTCAACTGCTGAGCCACCCAAGTGTCCCAATGGCTGGAGTTCTAATTGAGCATCCCAGGTTTACTCCCCACTGCAGTCTGCCACACTGCCACCCAAATGATAGCTCCAAATCTAAATCTGATGGGATTTAGCCATCCAGCCCAAGCTTTCAAATGGTCAAAAGAAAAAAAAAAAAAAAAAAAAACAACAACAAATGGTCAAAAGAGCAGACAGCCAATCACAATTTCATTTGTTCCTTCAACAATATTTTGTTTGAACCTCTATGCAAGGTCCTGCCACACAACCCCAGAAGGCATTATTTATGTAGGCAACTGCAAGGACAGTGACCCCAAGATTTGTACATCCCAGTAGCCTGTGTAA